TGTCTTTCAGTGTATTCTTGGCGCCCCTGCTTTTCACTGGGGTATGCTGCATCTGCTGAGTCTTTGGATTTCAAAAGGAGTGATATTAGTGTGCAAGTTTGGTACTAATCCGTCTAGAATTTTCCAAGTGATTATTATCATATAATTCTCTTGCCTGAGTTCCATGGAATGCAATTCATGGGACTTCAACCGTTTCCAGTAATTTAGGTGCTTTATCGTACTTTGGTGTGCCATGAAAGTTTTTTGCATGCTCTCAAGGCCAGTAATTTTGCCTGCCTTGAAGGGAGCGGTTATTGTACAGTAGTATTCCAGCCTAGAGAAAACAATCAATTTAAAAGAGAATCATCACGGGCTTGGCACCCATAGTTGTGAAGGTTCTCATTATCTATCCTATCATTTTTCTAGCAGATGCGGTAAACACACTGTCGTGGTCTTTGAACGTGAGATCCTCTGACATTACACTCTCCTCTAAAACCAAACGAAGCAATTTATTATTTCTAAAAGACATTTAGTTAGATTAGTCTAAATTAAACTGCGCTTGTTTTAATAAAGTTAGGTAAGTTTTATAAGGTTATTTTGGTACAAAATTATTATTTTTTTCATTATAACATAAATAAAAAAAATCTTTAATTTTGTAAGACAAAAATTTTAGAAAGTAATTTTAAATGAATTTTTGCTAAAATTTAAACCCAATTTTACCTATTCCCCCACCCACATATATATATAATATATATATTTTATATATATATTATATATTATATATATATATATATATATATATATATATTTTATATATATAATATATATATATAATATAATATATGTATATATATATGTTAATGAACCATGAAACAAGTTGTATTGAAACATTTACCAAAAATGAGGCCAGCCGAGATTAAATCCTGCGACACATTCTCCCTCTCAGAGACAGAACAAAAGTTAACAATGCCTTAAAACCCTTTAGCCAGAATCCCTCCAAAAATTACACACCATGAGAGCTTGGCGTTTTTCATGATCCGAGTACACTCACGGTAATGGTACGCTCTGCTTGGTGCGTGAACTTAAAGGATGCTGTTCGAGGCTCTCGCCCACGAGGCTCTCGCCCACCCTTCTGTTATATTTTATATATATATATATATATATATAATATATATATATATATATATATTATATATATATATAATATATTATATATATATATATATATATATTATATATATATATATATATATATATATAATATACATATATATAATATATATATATATACATAATATATATATATATATATATATATATATATATATATATATATATATATATATATTATATATATATATATATATATATATATATATATATATATATATATATGTATATGTCGTGCCGAATAGGCAGAACTTGCGATCTTGGCTTAAATAGCAACGCTCATCGTGCCTTATAAGACAAGTGAAAATTTTTGTATGCAATAATTTCGCCAAAATCATTTTGAACCTAACGAAAAAAATATATTTCATTGTGTTTGTTTAGTATTAACTTATTGTAAACGTATTTAAAATATTTTTCGTTGGGTTAGGCTAAAATAAGTTGATCTTGTTATAATAAGGTTAGGTAAGTTTTCTAAGATTCTTTTGGTGCAAAATTAAAATTTGTTACATTAACATTAATGAAAAAATATATCTTTAAACGTATAAGAGAAAATTTCAGAAAGAACTTAATTTTAAATGAGTTCTTGAAAATTGACCAGTTTTACATATTCGGCACGACATATATATATATATTATATATTATATATATATATATATATATATATATATATATATAATATATATATATATATATATATATATATTATATATATAATATATATATATATATATATATATTTTTTTTTTTTTTTCAACAAGTCGGCCGTCTCCCACCGAGGCAGGGTGACCCAAAAAAGAAAGAAAATCCCCAAAAAGAAAATACTTTCATCATCATTCAACACTTTCACCACACTCGCACATTATCACTGTTTTTGCAGAGGTGCTCAGAATACAACAGTCTAGAAGCATACACATATAAAGATACACAAGATATCCCTCCAAACTGCCAATATCCCCAAAACCCCCTCCTTTAAAGTGCAGGCATTGTACTTCCCATTTCCGGACTCAAGTCCGACTATATGAAAATAACCGGTTTCCCTGAATCCCTTCACTAAATATTACCCTGCTCACACTCCAACAGATCGTCAGGTCTCAAGTACCATTCGTTTCCATTCACTCCTATCTAACACGCTCACGCACGCTGCTGGAAGTCCAAGCCCCTTGCCCACAAACCTCCTTTACCCCCTCTCTCCAGCCCTTTCGAGGACGACCCCTACCCCGCCTTCCTTCCCCTATAGATTTAATGCTTTCCATGTCATTCTACTTTGATCCATTCTCTCTAAATGACCAAACCACCTCAACAACCCCTCTTCTCCTCTGACTAATACTTTTATTAACTCCACACCTTCTCCTAATTTCCACACTCCGAATTTTCTGCATAATATTTACACCACACATTGCCCTTAAACAGGACATCTCCACTGCCTCCAACCGTCTCCTCGCTGCTGCATTTACCACCCAAGCTTCACACCCTTTATAAGAGTGTTGGTACTACTATACTTTCATACATTCCCTTCTTTGCCTCCATAGATAACGTTTTTTTGACTCCACATATACCTCAACGCACCACTCACCTTTTTCCCTCATAAATTCTATGATTAACCTCATCCTTCATAATCCATCCGCCGACACGTCAACTCCCAAGTATCTAAAAAACATTCACTTCTTCCATACTCCTCCCCCCCAAATTTTTGATATCCAATTTTTCTTTATCTAAATCATTTGACACCCTCATCACCTTACTCTTTTCTATGTTCACTTTCAACTTTCTACCTTTACACACATTCCCAAACTCATCCACTAACCTTTGCAAATTTTTCTTTAGAATCTCCCATAAGCACAGTATCATCAGCAAAAAGTAACTGTGTCAATTCCCATTTTGAATTTGATTTCCCCCAAAATTTTTAAACCCACCCCTCTCCCGAACACCCTAGCATTTACTTCCTTTACAACCCCATCTATAAATATATTAAACAACCATGGTGAACTACACATCCCTGTCTAAGACCTACTTTTACCGGGAAGTAGTCTCCCTCTCTTCTACACACCCTAACCTGAGCCTCACTATCCTCTAAAAACTCTTTTCGCTTTAATAACTTACCACCTATTCCATATACTTGCAACATCTGCCACATTGCTCCTCTATCCACTCTATCATATGCCTTTTCTAAATCCATAAATGCAATAAAAACTTCCCTACCTTTATCTAAATACTGTTCACATATATGCTTCAATGTAAACACTTGATCTACACATCCCCTACCCACTCTGAAACCTCCTTGCTCATCCGCAATCCTACATTCTGTCTTACCTCTAATTCTTTCAATTATAACCCTACGTACACTTTTCCTGGTATACTCAGTAAGCTTATTCCTCTATAATTTTACAGTCTCTTTTGTCCCCTTTCCCTTTATATAAAGGGACTATACATGCTCTCCGCCAATCCCTAGGTACCTTCCCCTCTTTCATACATTTATTAAACAAAAGTACCAACCACTCCAACACTATATCCCCCCCTGCTTTTAACATTTCTGTCATGATCCCATCAGTTCAGCTGCTTTACCCCCTTTCATTTTACGTAATGCCTCACGTACCTCCCCACACTTACATTCTGCTCTTCTTCACTCCTAAAAGATGGTATACCTCCCTGACCAGTGCATGAAATTACTGCTTCTGTTTCTTCCTTAACATTTAAAAGTTCCTCAAAATATTCTCGCCATCTACCCAATACCTCCATTCTCCCCATCTACTAACCCCCCTACTCTGTTTTTAACTGACAAATCCATATTTTCCCTAGGCTTTCTTAACTTGTTTAAACTCCACTCCAAAATTTTTTCTTATTTTCATTAAAATTTCTTGACAGTGCCTCTCCCACTCTATCATCTGCTCTCCTTTTGCACTCTCTCACCACTCTTTTTACCTTTCTTTTACTCTCATATACTCTGCTCTTCTTATAACACTTCTGCTTTGTAAAAACCTCTCATAAGCTACCTTTTTTTCTTTTATCACACCCTTTACTTCATCAATTCCACCAATCACTCCTCTTCCTCCTGCTCCCACCCTTCTATAACCACAAACTTCTGCCCCACATTCTAATACTGCATTTTTAAAACTATTCCAACCCTCTTTCAACCCCCCCACTACTCATCTTTGCACTAGCCCACCTTTCTGCCAATAGTCGCTTTATCTCACCCGAACTTCCTCCTCCCTTAGTTTATACACTTTCACCTCCCTCTTACTTGTTGTTGCCACCTTCCTCTTTTCCCATCTACCTCTTACTCTAACTGTAGCTACAACTAAATAATGATCCGATATATCAGTTGCCCCTCATAAACATGTACATCCTGGAGCCTACCATCAACCTTTTATCCACCCAAAAATATTAATCTAATAAACTACTTTCATTACGTGCTACATCATACCTTGTATATTTATTTATCCTCTTTCTCATAAAATATGTATTACTTATTACCAAATTTCTTTCTACACATAGCTCAATTAAAGGCTCCCCATTTACATTTACCCCTGGCACCCCAAATTTACCTACTACTCCCTCCATAAAATTTTTTACCCACTTTAGCATTGAAATCCCCAACCACATTACTCTCACACTTGATTCAAAACTCCCCATGCATTCACTCAACATTTCCCATATATATATATATATAAAATTTTATTATATATATTATACATATATATATATATATATATATATATATATATTTATAGATATATATATATATATATATATATATATATATATAATATATATTAAAATATATATATATATATATATACACACACACACTTACATTCCTATCACTGAAAAGACGATTCCTACTTGTTACTTACCCAGTGTTTCTTCCTCCTCTTCAATGACTGATTTATAGCTGCTGGTGTTGTTTAGCTTCCTCTCCTTGATGGTGCTGTTGGACATGTTGTGGAGAATTTTGATGCAAGCATAAAATTCTTTGGCAGGTCCTAGTAGCTTGTACATGAAGTCACTGTGAAGCCAGGGTCGATAAATCCGGTGTTGGATACAGCTGGCCATCCTGCTCAAGTATATAGGATAAGATGTGAGTTCAACCATTTATAATTGCTTTGCCAAGTTTGTTTTGATTCTTTATCCAACTCACATCTGTTTTCACATTCACAGTGAAACCGAATATTTATTAATTTTTAAAGTCTAGTGTTAAAATGAAATTTAATTTACACGGTTTTAAATGTCTACAGTTGTTGGATATAACAATTTTCTAATATAACAGTAATTTAAATAAATTGTTCAGTTTAAATATCAAGAAATATTGCTTTTACAAGAGCAACAGCAATAATAATAATAATAATAATAAATTATTTATGTATTTATTATATTTGTATAATCATTATTACTATTATCAGTTATTTTTATCATTATTATTATTACTATTGAGAAAAATCTCCTAAAGCAGAGTGGGTAATACAGCACTAAGTTAAAAAGCTGGCCTGATGCCTAGTCATATTTCAAAGAATAGTTCTTCCTACTGTACACCACCACCTCCAGGATGCACCACACAATTACCAACTAAAACCAAATACCAATTTAATAATGCAGTAGAACCTCTACTTGCGAGCGCGTCCACGTGCGAGTTTTTCCAAATACGAGCAGTCGATCGGTCAAATTTTTTGCTTCCATACATGAACGAAATTTCCATAAGCGAGAGGGCCTCGAGGGAGGTTCCTTGACTCTGGTGAGGGGCTCTTGCTCTTGATCTAAGGAACTGGATCTCATTTGTTTGTTGGAATATCTTATTGAAACTTGGGCAATGTATGATGGGAAGATGCTTCTTAACGTACACCAAAAATGAAAGAAACTGGACCATAAATAATGGAGTTCACTTCTCAGCAATTAGTCTCCCCTTAGCGGTATTTTCGTATGACTTTTATAGTTGTATTCTTTTTTTTTTATCTCATTTGATGGAATGGAAGATATATTACAAAAATAGATATGATTTTGATTGGATGCAAGACGAAAAGTACCTTGAAAATGAGCTCAAAGTAGCAGAAATGTTTGATTCTTTACCGATGTTAAGAGTAAACAAATGGTGGCCTGGTGGTTAACGCTCTCGCTTCACACGGTGAGGGCCTGGGTTCGATTCCCAGCCAGAGTAGAAACATTGGACGTGTTTCTTTCAACCTGTTGTCTATGTTCCCCATCAGTAAAATGGGTACCTGGGTGTTAGTCGACTGGTGTGGGTCGCATCCTGGGACACTGACCTAAGGAGGCCTGGTCACAGACCGGGCCGCGGGGGCGTTGACCCCCGGAACTCTCTCCAGGTAAACCCATTCCAATATGCCCTCGTGAACGGGTTAACATTATTTATACAATTATTTACTGTTATGCAGTAGTCTGCATAACAGTAAATCTTCTATTTTTTGTGTGAATAAAAATTATAAATTATTTATATTGTAATAATAATAATAAAAATACGTATAAATAATAGTATAATATAATATTGATATAGTACGTATAATATATATATATATATATATATATATATATATATATATATATATATATATATATATATATATATATATATATATATATATATATATATATATATATAATAATAATATAATTTGCACTATATAATAATCATCGACACCATGTCCAGCCCTTCTAGGGCAGGGTAGGTGCCTGAGCCAGAGCTTGCAGCTCACAAGCCTGTCATTCCCATTAGCCCCCTTGGGGCGGGGATGGCAGACCAGAGAGGCCTAGCTTCTCCCTACGAGAAGCTAGGCCTGGGTACAGTTGGTCCCAAAGATGAGGGGGTACTTGTGCCTCTTCCCATGGGAGACTTAGGTCTCAGACACTCCCTAGATAGGGAGCCAAGGCCGGGCCACCACTTGTAAAAGGCCCGGGCCGGTTGGATACCGGCGAATCTTAATAATAATAATATATAATAATTAATAACAGACGACTTCAAAAGGCCGTCACTAGATGGCAGTGTTTACCACAACAAAGTGAGAGCAGTTGTGGCAGCCTCCACCTGTTACATAATGACATATTTTATTCGTTCTAGAGTATATATCAGATTTCTATGTTATTTATATTGTTTACTATGTCATATTAAATGAATTGTGATAGATAAATAATCCATATTGATATTAGCGAAATTATTCAAGGAGTATTTTGTCCGGTCTGCACCAGACAAAGTCTCGTCCGCCGAGGATACCACTACATGAATGACATATTTTATTCATTCTAGAGTATATGTCAGGTTTCTGTGCTATCTATATTGCTTATTGTATCATATTAGATGAATTGTGATATAAATAAGCCGTAGAGTTGATATTAGGGAAATTTTTGAAGTACAGAAATCCACTGGAACGGATTAATTGCATTTCAGTTAATTTAAATGAGGAGAAATGACTCTGTAAACGAGCAAATACAGATGCTAGCAAGGTCACGGGACGGATTAAACTCACGACTGGAGGTTCCACTGTATATGTATTTTGATTACTCTGTGATCTGAGAGGAAAATCTCAGAATTACATACCTCTAATCCCCTGTACGCCAATTCATGCATAAGAATTAGCGCAGAGTGTGGCATAAATTTCTAATACAGTTAATTATTAGAGTTGAAAGCCTGAAGCAAATCAGATTTGGTATGGCATTGTTATCACATGTGCATTAATATCTCAATCTCGATAAGTGGCAAATTAGATTATTTGTAGGAAAACAAATTTAAACCTTCCACTAAGAAACAAACTTTCAAGGAATGAAGAGGCCTTCTCGTGTTATCTCAAGACACTAAATCTTCAAATCACCACACAGAAATTTTAAAGCCCTGAAAATTTGCACCGAAGTTACCCGTTGAAGGGTGAACCCTTTGACGGGCACCCAAAAATTATAGCATTACAACTAGTATTTTTTTTTTTTCCCCTTTTGGGACAAACACACCCCAAAACCCACCCACAAAAACTTAAAAACTTTTGCAGATTTAAAAAATAACTTAATTTTTTACAGATCCCGGGATACATAAACATTTTTTGACAACGGGGTTAGGCCAAAAGGTTTTTGGACAGAATGTAAAAAATGAAATCTGCCCCTAAGACGACCGAATAAGTCAATCCGGGGAATTTTTAATCATCATCAGGAAAACATTCTACGTTAATTCAAAGAAATCAATTTTTTTACTAAAAATGGCACATTAAAACTTTCACATCCTAAAATCAAAGGGAAAAATTCCTAGAAAAACCACATCAACACTAAAACTTAAAGCCAGTAGAAGAGGGCATTCTCTTTTTTTTTCAGAAAACCCAAAAAAATGTTATGACAAAGCCTAAAGCAAAAATTGGTTTTTAAAATGATGTACGCCTTTAAAGACTGATGCCATTTACATTATTTTAATTTAAAATGAAAATGTTCTAGAGCGTAGGGGGCCCTCAACCCTGGAAATCTGAAATTCAAAAAGGGAAGAGGGGATAATCCGGTTTTTGGTCAAAAGCCCCTCATATGTTTAAAGCAAAAAAAGGATATAATGCAAAAAAATGCACTTCATTTCCAGATTAAATTGTAAAAAAGGGCCCTTACAAACACAATTTAAAAATACCCACTTCTCCTAGTATCCGAATGTTGAAATTTTGAAACCGGTCAGCTGAGGGCTTTTAAACCAGTTTTCGATTGAAAACCAAAACTAGTAAATCAAAAATAAGTCGTACATAGGGATCCCCCCGAGAAAAAGTCCCCCTGATTCTTACCCTAGTTACTGTACAGAAGCGTTTTAAATTTGAAGTCGTTAGGGTGGGCCTTCCCGAATTATGACAAAAAAATGAAAAGTTAAGATCGAAAAAGATAAAAAAAAATTATTCTGGCCTTATTTTCTCGCTATCCTGTAATATCCCCTCGTATTGTCTGCATCGCATTGGGCGTGCAGACCCCCTTGCCTGACGCTCCTCAGGACCTGACAGCAGTGGTAAGAGGAGGTGTTGTGCATTCGCTTGCCTGGATGAGGTAGAGTGCGTCGTGCTTTGCACCCATCTACTGTTTCCATGACTGATCTAATCAGTCGAACGACATGGCGCCAGGTGGCGCAGGAGAGTGAATACCGGTGGGCATTGAAGTATTAGATGGGGCTTTAACACCTAACGTCAGTGAGGTGTTATTTCCAAATTTAATACGATGAGACATTGGATCAGAGGACGAGGATTTTATGGAGTGGCACTGAACGAGTATATAGAATTTTCGTGAAAGTGTAACTGCTCAGTTACGAGGTTTGGTTGATTCGTTACCAGGATGTCAGCAATTAATGTAACACCGGCAGTGAGGGTCAAGTGATTGATGATATCACGACATTATTCGGGGTTAAGGCTCCGCAACGTGCCTTTTGATGCTGATGAGGTTAGATATTCGAAATGTTTTCGAACGTTATGGAACTGTACATCTGGCCCACTGGCAAAATGGGTGTAAAAGGTGTCTTACACAGGATTTTCCTGAGGGGTTCTTTTAATCTCAAGTTGACGCTTAGGCATCCTATACCCTCGTATGTATATCTCGACAGAGTTTAGAACCCAGGGTTAATGGTAGTAAGCAGGGCAGAGAAGTACTTGCCGACTGTGTGGCTAATTTGACCATTATGGCGGCCAGACTGTGGCAAGCGGAGTATGGCTCCTGGGCCGGCAAGGGGCGGAAGCACCTGCACATGAGCACCGGATATGCATAAGGAAGAACGGGGGGCAAGGTGGAGGGGCGTGGTCGCATGGGGAGTGAAGAGGTAGTGGCTCCTCCAGTGGAATTGGAAGAAGAAGGGGTGATCATGATTCACCTGGCATCAACGGGGCTCCTGGGCAGGGGAAAGGGCGGAGCACTTGCACATGAGCACCCGATGCCTAAAGAAGAACGGGTGCAAGGAGGAGGGCGTGGTGCATGTGGAGTGAAGAGGTGGTGTGGCTCCTCCTGTGGGAATCGGAAGAAGTGGTGATCCATGAATCACCTGTCCCAATCAACAGTACAGTTGTCAAGTGAGGAGGTACAGGAGGGCGCAGCAGTGAAGGGCTATGAGGGGGTTG